AACTTCATGAGTTGTGTTCCGCAATTTCGGTCATAAAAACAAAACAAGCCGGCCTCCTGTCTGCGGCACTGTTTGCGGTCAGCTACAATTTGGGAGACGTGCAGCGGAGCGTCTGTGGAGGGGGCGGGGACGTCTGGGGCCGAGGTATTGAATTGCACTCATTGCACTGATTTTGTGCAGTATTTTTTGATGCAAGGCCTTTGGGAATCTATAACGCAGGGGTATTATTATTTTTCAGTGAATGAGGTTTTAATAGGAATAGGTGGAGTGCAACTTTTCTACTTCTGTTATTTGCTGTAGTTTCTCAAAAAAATGCATAACGATATTACAGCTTTCATTGATTTCAAATTTGAAACATTTTCTAGCCTGTAAGGTGTAAAAAAAATAATAAATAAATAAATGAACCAATTAATCGAATTGTATCGTGGTGTATTCTTGAGTATCGAAAATAATCAAATTGTTGGGTCAAGAAATCGATACTGCATCGAATCGCCATGATGGATGTGATTTACACCCCTAGTGAACACCATCTCCTCCAGGTCATAAGTCAGTATTGATAGCCCTTCTTATAACTCGGTGCTTTTGAGGAAGCTCTTATAGGTACTCCTGCTTTAAGGACATTACTTTTGCAAGGATCAGCTTATCTCCTGTAATGATGGACTGAAATGCTTTAACAATTGCAACATAGGGGGTGGGGGAAGAAGTTAATTTTGCATTAGATTGTGATTTCTGCCCAATATAATAGCGAACTCTCAATTCCTAATATTAATTAAAAAAAAAAGAACTAATTTTGTCTAAAAAAAAAATTCAGGAAAATGGGCTACATCTGCACCCCCACTCTGGCAGATGGCGCCGTGGAGCCATTTTGCTGTGTGTTTAGGCGGTCACAGTGGAAGATATGGAATGACTCAAACCAGAAACTACATGGATTCTGATGAACATATACAGCACTTGCTTTTTATCTATACATTCCATTTTGATAGCTAGATAAATTATAGCAAATTATAATGATATTGCACTATTGTGATATCATATCGTTACATCATTGTGCAATGTAATCCCTCATAAGCATCTACTATAATGAAAGTCCATCCAACAGGATTTATTTCTATCTAAATAAAGACTCAGAATAATTGGAATTTATTATATTGGAGGACAAAAAGCAGTAGCCTATTTTAGTATTTTTAATGTGTACGGATATTATGATGTTATTTAGCAGTACTTTCAAAACATGGTTGACAGTCTGTCCCTTTTCAGTGTTTTATAATGCTAAAAATGGGTATGGATTGTTGCATATTTTTAAGACCCATCAAATAATATTTAGCATAATCCAATGAAACTTTTAGATGTTGTAGGTGGATAGAAGTCATTGTCTGAGCTAACTAAAGAGATGTTAGCCTCGGAGCATATGCGGCAACTAGTCTGAAGTGGAAGACGTAATCCTGCATATGTACAACGAAGATCAGTTGACCATAGAGTAAAGAGTGCAGCAGTTATTTATGTGTTTACAGGTCATTATGAATATCGTTGCTCATGGTAGGGGTTGTATATTTAAAAAATGTAATTATTACCTAATTGTTTTATATGTATACAGAATTTGCTTTGAAAAGCAGCAAATAGACAGTCATACAGATGAGATAAAAATGTAATGTGGAATAAACTATTGCAAGTCATAAAGGGATATTGGGAGATTAGAGAAAAGAAGTACTACCTTTGCAGTGAAAGAGAAATGTGGGAGATGTTAAAAACATTCAGAAAATACCATATGAAATTTGAGTGGTAGTTTATAGGGAGAAAGTGTCAGGCTTTGTTAATGAGGTTAGCTGCAGACTAGAGGAACCTGTTTTTGTGGTGAGAGGTTTTGGTCTTGGTGCACCGCAGCCTCCTGCCCGATGGGAGGGTTGGAAACGGGTTGTCTCCATTGTGACGGTGGGTTGGCTGCAATTATTTCTGCTTGCTGGAGTCCTAGACACATGCAGTTCCTGGAGAGAAGCAGATTGCTGCCAATCACCCTCTTTGCAGAATGAATTACCTGCTGCAGCCGGCCCTTATCCCTAATGGCAACAGCATACCAGAAGATGATGATGGAGTAGAAGTGCGGCATCACTATCTTTGGTAGGCTGAACTTAAGTGAAATACCCTGGCTAGGAGATGATGGGGTATGGTGTTCTTGGCATAACAGTTTATTAGACCCCAAAGTTCAGTTTGCCGAATTCAGACATTTTGTCCTCCTGGCCCTGCTCTCCTGCTGTGGATTACTAATTTGAAAATCAGTTATTCTAAAGGAAGTTACTCTTTGTAAACTGGCCTACCTTAAAAAACAAGTATTTTGCACATTTTATATACAAATGTAACTGACAAAACTCAGTTTGCATTTTAACAAGTCTTTATATACATTTACGTATTGCTAAAGAGTAGAGCAGATGACAATCACTTGGCTAATTGGTTAACCAGGTGACCTAATAATTCTCTTTTTAAAGGGATATTGTTTAAAAATTACTGTCATCTAGTGGTCAAATGGGGGTACTTCACTCAAACACTATTGTGCAATTGCCTCCAACACAGACAACAGCAGTGAAATGAATGTTCACATGGTTTCACTGGCTGTGGTTGTCAACAAGAAGGTTGGCTGAATGTTGATGTGAAGTGTACAAGTGGCGTCAAATCAGCAGACTCGCATGGCCTCATGTATAATCCAAAATAAAATTCTCCGTCTCTGAAAGTGTATTGGTTTATCAGTGGAGGTCATGATACACCAATAATTACTAACTAGAGCTTGCCAATTAATTGCAATTAAACTAAAATCCCATTTTAGAAAAATACAATTTTCAAATCACAGCAGCACCCAATTTTAGTCGCAATGCATTTAACAAGAGTAAGACACTAAATTTCTTCCCCCAACCCATTAGGTGGCGGTAAAAACCTT